CATTCTCAAAGAATGTCAAAGACCCCTGTTGTATGTCTTGTGCCTCTCATGGTTTTTAAGTTGAATATTACTTGCTTTATATTTATTTCTTCGGTTTCTTAAGGGACATTTAGATTTGCTTTTAAGAGACATTTATATTTGAATAGGTGTAGCATCTCTTCCTCGAGACTTTAGTCCCAACAAGTAATCAACTTTATTGCTTCGATGAATCCAGTTTTATGGTTAATACACTGTATTAATCGATAACTTTATATATTAGTTGACTTGCAAAATGATCACACAAACTCATGATTCAAGGCCAAACTAATGTTTCAGAATTGTGATTCACCCACGCTGCATCGCGCAGGTACACCACTAGTATATATATATATATATATATGTTTATTATGTATATATATATTAATAATGTATAAATTTTATATAATTTTTATTGATATTATATTTTGTTTCATTTTAACTAAACGTATAGGTTACCAAAAGAGATTCACGATCAAAGAATGATAACAAATAATCTAATTAATAAGAAAAATTATTGATTTGTTTTGCAGCAACAATAAATTGATATGTTGGAAAATATGAATGATATTGATGGATATTTGATAGACGAATCCATCAATCTATGACGCTTCTAAAGAGTTACATTAGAAAAATGTCTTATCTAAAAGAGTTCCAATATGTTTATAAGTTGGCTTTGGACGTCTTAACAAATTCTATGATGTTTTTAAAATAAAGTGTCGTATTAGTTATTTTATACAACACGACTTGAAAAAGTGTCATGTGAGCATAGATGTCCTATAAATAGATGAGTTTACGGGACACTTCTCAAAATGTTTCTATAAAATAACTAATACGACATTTTATTTAAAGATCATTCTAAAACACTTGTTGAAACGTTCAAAAACGTCTTATAAACCTATTGTAACATTTTTATATATGACGCTTTATAGTATGGTCTATAAACTTAAGTTTTATGAATTATTTCATTCGTCAAATTAGGTAACTACTAATCCACCAACCCAATCCAACCCGCCTCAACCCGCAAGGGTTGGGTTGGGTTATACTTTTGAATGAGTTGGGTTGGGTTGAGATTTCCAAACCGCCATAATTGGGTTGTGTTGTAAAATTGTTGTAAACCGCCCAACCTAACCCACGTTCACCCCTAATAAAAATGATCCTACAAGGCACTAGGGATGCCGACACAAAGGGCTTTCACGGGTTATCAAAAGGTGCAGACAAGAAGGAAAGGATGTAAATAGATAAAAAAAAACAACAAAAAGATGCAGACGAAGATGAAAATAAAAAAAAATATCTAAACAAATGTAAATAGCACATACTGTAACACCCCTAAAATAGGAGCAAATTTAAACCAAAAGTCGATATAGAAACCATACCCAAAAATATATAAATCACCCAATTGTGGGGAACGTGTGAAGCATTTACTACCCAAATGATATAAAAGAAAAAGTAACAACCTACTAATCCAAACTAAAGTGAACTCGAAATTGCTTGGTTTTGGTGAAAACCTAAAAACCAAGATAACCCTAGAAATCGTGGTGACATGTTGAAGTTTGAACTCTAAACTTGAATCCTTAGCTCTAACACTCCAAACTTGATGATTAATGTCATTTAATGGGCTTAAGGTTTAACCAAAAGGGAGTAAATGTAGAGAGGAATGGGTTGGTGAGTGAATAAATGAAGTCTAATATGAAAATCCCGATTTTAACACCTGCAGGTATTATGCGACCTTGCAATGCAACCCTAGGGCCACGACACAAGGGTCGCTCGTGTTTCTGAGTAGACTAACGGTACCATAAACATGAATGTGGCCTTGCGGTGCAAAGGTTGCAGTCACAAGGGTCGTAGAACCCAAAACTCCCCACTTATGGTACACAAGATGCGAACCTGGCCATGCAATGCAAGGGTTGTCGCATAAGGGTTGGATGACCCATACAGAGGCCTGAAATGCCTCATTTAAAGGCCGTTTTAAGGTCTAATTCACAAGGCTTAACCACCAATATAGAAACTAGACATACGAACCTAAATAACGAATGTAACCTTGATTAAGACTTGATTAAAATCTAATTAATTACATCATAAAATCTCGGGTGTTACACATTAAAAAAAAAAGACAATGTAGAGGTAAGGATTTTACACTTTCAAGCAAGAGTCGGATGCAAGCAGTGATAAGGAGTCAAGAGTGATGCAAATGTGAGAAAGAAAGGAGAAAGACGACGACAGAAATGTTGGCATATGAAACTTATGTGCTTGTCGTAGGTTATAGAATAAATCAGAGGGATTTAACCATTCAAAGGCTTTAAAAGAATGTTGCCAAACAATAGTGCATCTAAGTGAATCAGACATTTACCTCTTGGTGACATTATTAAGATGTAAACAAACACACCCTTAATGGGAAAAAAAATCAAACAATCCTAACATGATAAACCTATTATTTTGGAGATGTCATTGCAACTGATTATGAAACAACTGCTATTGTTCTCATTACCAACATCAAACCAACTGTCAAATAAAAGTTATGCCTAGGAGCTCTTATTCATAAGTTACTAGTTCGAGTCTCTTTAGGCCTATTGCAGATTTTTCTGACTGTTATCTTCAGAACCATAAGATTAGTCGAGTGACGTACAAAGTGACATGGACATCCATGGTTAAAAAACATCTTGCAAAGCCGTAATTATGTCATATATACAAACTTTTAATCTCTTTAAATCCATAAGTAACTAACAATCAATTGATAAATATGTTCAAATATATGATTCATTAAGCCTTACTAGCGCATCTTTATTTTTAAATATGAAAATATTCAAACCATAATATGGTTTTGTATCAAAGAAGATATATGAAACGATAATTTTATAAATTTTAATTTGACACCAATATTTTATCTTTTATTTATTTAACGGGATCTTGAAATAGCAAAACATGTTTAACCACCACATGTAATATTAATTTTATTCAAATATAAATTCTAGATTTTACCTTTTTAACAAAAAGATATCTGATTTTTTTTATTTTTAATTCTCGATTTACAATAAAGTATTATATGTCACAATATTAAACGAGTAGACAACTGTTATATATGGATAGATATAGATATGATTTGACGTACATGTACATGATACAATAGACTTGATAATATGTGTTTCGCTCTAATTATTATGATTTCAAGTCGCAACAACTAATTTTTAATGTTTGAAGAGACACACTTTATACATGATTATTTGATATTTACCGGTAAAATATTCAGTTTCATATATCTAATATAGAGTAAATTACGTTTCTAGTCCCCGTGATTTGTTGGAAATATCTATTTTCGTACAGTTCTCATCCCGTGGTTTATAATTCATTACATTTTCTGGTTTAAAATTTATTGATTTTTTTTCGTCCATATGGTTTACAATTCATTTCTATTTTAATCATTTATACTTAAAAGTAGTGTTTTAAGTATAAATGATATGTGTTTCGCTCTAATTATTACAAGATTATTACAAGATTACAAGTAATTTTGCATATATGGGATTGAGATTACAAGATTACTTTTAAGTATAAATGATATGTGTTTCGCTCTAATTATTACAAGATTACAAGTAATTTTGCATAATCAAATACAGGATAAACATTTATTTTAAATATAGAAAATCTTAAATATAATTAAGATAATCATTGATTCTAAATGTTTAATTATTATTTTTATAAAAAATTATATTATTAAATCAAAAAAAAATTACTTTGTTATTAAATCTAAATTAACTTATAATAAAAAATTAAATTAAATAAGTTACACCAAAAAAACGAAAATTATTAAATAGTTAATTTGATATTAATATCGATTTATTTTTTTTCAAAATTTTATGTTATCTTTAAATTTATATTTAATTTAAGAATAAAAACATTATCACTTTCTTAAAATCATATAAAATCGTATTATATTAATAGAGACAAAATAAAAACTAAACATTAAAATAAAGATTTATCTCGTTATATTATACGAATATTCTTCTACTCTGTATTAATTACATTTTAATTATTTAATTTATATAATGATATTAATCAACATCGAAAGTAATGGCAACACGTGTATAAACCCAAACCCAAACCCAGGTTAACTCCGTATCTACGTTTCTGATTCCCTTACTCAAACTCTTTCCCTAAACCCTCCTTCCAATCTTTATGGTCGTTGTGCATCATCATCATCATCATCTATTAGGGTTTTCTTCTTAAAAAGACATATTTTTTTAGGGCTTCTCTTCGTCATCTGCAAAACGTAAGTGCTTTTGTTTCATAATTTTCAATATGCTCACAGTATTTTGATTTGTGATCATCGACATGTATATATCTGTTGTCCAGTTCGAGGTTTCTTATATGGATGAATTGTTGGTTCCTATACTATTATTTATTGTTAACAAGCTATGTGGCCTGACGATCATCTATTATTGCTGTACATGATGGATGATCATGATTTGACTTCAATTTTATTTTATGGATATTTATGTCAAGAAATTATATGCCTCCGGTTATAATCCACAGTTTTATGTGGCTTTGATGAATCAGAAGATGCTAAAAAATAAATAAAGGAAACAGGACTTACGGGAATACGGGATGATGTAGGTTCAGTTTAATCTTTATTAAAAAGTTACCATATGTTTCCATCTTATTTCAAATTTAGTTTTATGTAAGAAGGTTTTGATTTCTAATTTTTCCGGTTTTTTTACCACACCCACAGGGCATTTGAATTCTACCACTGTGATAAATTGATAAATAGACCCATCATAGGAATTGGGATGCTTCTTATGTTTTGTGTTTATATTTTGTTACAAAAGGGAGATTAGGAAAAAACGAAGAGTAATTAAGGAAGATGAAAGTATGTTGTGACTCGGTAGCTTCATGTTTAAACCTTGTGCAGATCATCATTGACATATGTGTATTTATGCATATATGGGATTGAGATTTAAGGCTTTTGTACTCAAGTGCATAAAACAATTTATATTAAGGAAAAGTAACTTCGTTTGGCACATCTGTTTGTGAATATAGTTCTACAAAGTTACTTTAATTGTAAAAAGGATTTTCAAAATTTTGTATTTGATGCACCCATCCAGGTCTTTGTAGTTCCACCACTGTGATAGAATGTCAAAAGTATTATTTACATATTTTGTTGCATAGATGGAAGATAAGAAAGTTCAAAAATAATGTTTGGGATAAAGAAGTGTCCAGTAAAGTGGTAGTTTCATGTTTATAGCTTCTATATATTTTTTACTTGAGCGTATGTCTATGTTCTTGAACCAAGGATTGAGATCTATACTGATTGCATTACTTGTTGAGTGGGAAGAAGATAATGGATGCTGCCAAAAATCATATCAAAGAAAATTGATTGAACCTATTTGAACTTTTTACCCCTCAGAAATAACTAGTGATATCCCTTCCTAAATTGAGTGGATGAAAGGATAGCATGGGCACATGGCGTCATAAATGTTGAAAATTTCGAAGTTATATCGAGCTATCTTATATACTACTAGGTTGTCTTTGTTGTTCGCTTTATCAGAAGAAGAGAGTAGGAATCAAGTGATTGGTCCATGATGATGCATAGATTATGGAATATTTGGCTAAATAATTACTGGTCTATGACTTCATTTTTAGCTACAGCACACATGATAATGATCATATAAATGAGAGGGTTTGATTTAATATTCCAACTTCACCACCTTTTTTCCATAGAACTTGCGTTGCTGCATTGCTTTTCACTAAGAGGTTAAATAAATCTTGTATTGAACTATCTGCATATTGCTATACTGTAACTGATAGAGTGATAGGAATATTATCTTTGAGCATATCAATAATGTTTTGCTAGTGTTGTGAGTTTATCCTACGAAACTACAGTCTAATTAAATGAATCTGTGTTGATCCAGGTACTATCTTGGAGAGTGATCAAGCAAAGCTACATAAAGATTTCTCCCTTATTCTGGTAAAGTTGATATATATGGATTCCATGGATCTTAAAGGTATTGCATGGGTTGGTAATATATACCAAAAGTTCGAAGCTATGTGCTTGGAAGTTGAAGAAGCTATGTGTCAGGTATGACCCACTATCATTCATACTTGAACCCATCATTCTAGTTTGTTTCCTAGAAATTTGTATAGTACAATCACACTGTAAATTCTTTGGGGGAGGGGGTGCAAGTTTAATTTATATATATATGTGTATATATGTATATATCTAGAAGGGATAAAAGTAAATGAAAACTAAAACCTCTGAATATGGTAGGTCCTAAAAGTTTTCTCATGTTGGTATGCTGGGCAGAGAAGTTAAGCAGAGTTCGTAGCAGTATTTTTATTTATTTAGTTATCATATATCTGTTCTTTCCAAACTGCTATTTGCATTTGCATTCCCTTCTGGTGAGACTATTTTCTTTTTGTCCTCCTTTTCTGGATAAGAGTGAGTATTGGTAGCAGCTTTAACACAATCAATGCTATTGCTGACATGGATGCGTATAACTTACTTTCTTGACAGTCTAGGCTCTTCCAACTTAATTGCTTAATTCTCTTATATTAAACTTTTATTTTTGCCTTCCAATAGCTTAACATGACTTCTCTCAGGAAACAGCTAAATATGTTGAAAATCAAGTCCAGACAGTGGGTGCGAGTATGAAAAGGTTCTGTTCTGATGTCATGCAGGATATGCTTCCTCCGTCGTCAAAGGATCTATCGAGAGTTGCTAGTGCTGACTTGTTACTTAACCCTTATCTTGAGTTTGGAATACACAAGAAATCAATATCAAGCATCAAGGAAGATGCTAAAGATCCTGTGTGTATCAAGGGTATTTCTGAAGATAAATCAAACTCGAGCAATGATGTTTGGGAAGATTGGTCTGCAGCATCTTTCAATTGGGAGGAAATTAGTGATAAAGAGGAAGCAAATTGTGACCGGATGGCCATGCAAGCATCAAACAAAGTTGTAGAATGTGGATCAAGAGGAGAGAAGGAAGGGAGAATACGTAATATGATTGTAGATACATCATTTACCAAGTCCAGTGCAAAGGGAGGGAAAAGATCGAGATGCATCTCCTCTAGCAATATCATAAGAGCAGAACGCTCAGGTAATTCTTCATAAATGAATTTGCACATCTTCATATTTCAGTATTCTTCATGCTATCTGCTTTGGACTGCAGATACAAGTGAAATTAGTGGGATGGTTTCTCAGATGGGTTCACAAGCTAGTTCTAATGAACCAAGTGGTCAGACTATCGATGGACATTTGCCCCATACAGGTACATCAGTATACCTTATTTGGACCTCTGCTTCCTTTTTTTTAATAAAGCTGGTAGTTTTTATCCTTTTCTGTTATTTCACTGGTGTAAGTGATTAGGATATGGAGTTTCAAGTAATAGCTTTTAACATATGCTCTCCCAATCTCATGGAAATTGTAACAAATGTTTCAAGAATGAGTGGAATGCCTTCAATCCCTTCCTTTCACGACAAAAAGGCGGTAGTTTTTGGACTCTTGGTTTTCAATTAAGTAGATAACTAGATGTTGTGACTTGTGAGCCAACACCACAAAATTTTGTGATGATGACAATGGGGGACAAATGAGTTTACCAAAAGAGAACATATAACAATTAATATGAGCCTAAGAAAGCAACTGTTGCAATATTTCTGGGACTACAATAGGTTACTTCTCTGCTCTGCTTTGTAAGTTTGATCTTCCTTAATGGCGCATCCAGTTTTACATTGTCAAGCTTGCCCTGTCAAATATTGAATTGTACCATGAGTATATTTTAAAGCGAAATTTCAATCTTCAATCTTCATATTGTTTGTTTTGCTCTCCTGACTGCAGATTCGTGTGAAAATAGCAGGCAAGTTTCTCTTTCTCAGACAGACTCGCACATTAGTGCTAATGCTCAGTGTGGTCAATCTGTTGGTGAAGAGGTCTTTTGGTCCCATACAGGTAACGTCATTACATTAATTCATTTTGTTTAAATTTTTATTGTTTTGTATGCTTCAACTTTTTATTCGAGACTTAAGTGATAATGAGAGAACGACTTGGCAATTCGGGTTTTTTTATCTCATCTACTCTGTCTGCATGGCTGCATGCATCAAACTTTAAAGGTACCTGAGCAAATAGCATGTTATTCACCCCAGTACTTTGCTTGATTATTGCAAACACATGCATAGTCCATCTTTTAAGATCTTGAGTATTATCCTGGTTCTTTAATTTTCCTGCCCTTTATGGTCTTGTTCATCCCCAATGCACTTATCCTCATTAACACTGTCATGTTGTCTATGTATCAAACTTTAAAGGTACCTGAGCAAATAGCATGTTATTCACCCCAGTACTTTGCTCGATTATTGCAAACACATTCGTAGTCTATCTTTTAAGATCTTGAGTATTATCCTGGTTCTTTAATTTTCCTGCCCTTTATGGTCTTGTTCATCCCCAGTGCACGTATCCTCATTAACACTGTCATGTTGTCTTGTGGGTTATGTCATCTCAACGTGCAACTGGGGGACAAAAATTGAATCACGAGATTCATTTCCGCTTTAGGATCTTGACTACTTCGCTCATACCTCTCATCTCCAAATATGTAGTTGGTTGTGGCCCATACTTTCATAATTTAATTTGATTCATTCCCACATCATCGGCAAACCTGTACTGGCATTGCATGATGGGAAAAAAATCTAAAGGTTAAGCATTAAATTTTTTATATTAATTACGAAAAGAAGCTTGTAGTATTTGGATTACGACATTGATATTTGAGGTTTCCAAGTTCTTAGTTGGCCCAGATTTTAACTATTACTATTATTAGAAATGCTGTGTTATGCAATTTTCCAGAAACTAATTTTCCATCAAGTAAAATATTGAGATTGCATCTGTTTATTAGTCTTTGCCCCTGTTGTCCTTTATTGTTTTGTCTGGAAGACATATATGATATATGCGATTGTTTTTTACATTTGGCCTGGCCATCCGATAGGCAAGGAGACTGGTCAAATGTTTTTATGAAAAAGTACATGGTGAAGTTATTATCTTCTGATTTTAATTGAGTATTCAATATCTGGACATAAGCTCACGTTTTTCTTTTCCCTTCCTAAACGAGATCAAAGACTTAACAAGGAAAATTGTGTATGATTATGCTTGGCTAATTTCTGCTCTCATAAAATTTACACTCATCAAGTTTAATTTTCAATGATCTGGGATACAATTCTTATGGATGGTGGGATGGACTTTTTTGTCGGTACCTTTTCATCCAACTCAGCATTTTCATGTTTTACATGCATCTTGTTTTCTACTTCCATTTTTGGCTTGTCAAATAAAAAGCTCATAGATAAGTTAAACTAGCTTTCTGACCTCCCTTAGACACCATTGACATAGTTACAGAACCAAACCAACCCATTATATCTGACTTGGGAGTAGGGTATGGGAGGGATAGGATGTACACAGACCTCAACCGATAGGATCAAGAGGCTGTTTCCGTGAAGATCCCAGGCTGTGCACGAAGCAAAGGTGTGTGCAATGACATAGGTACAGAACCCTTATCCACAAAGGCTGTATCTTCTGTTTCGTCTCTGATATTGGATCTCTCTCTCTCTCTCTCTCTCTCCTCTCAAAATGGTCACCACCACTAAGATCATACTATGGTTTGTGAAGCAGCTATGGTCATTACCACAAAATTATCGTTTCTCATTTTATTTCCCCACGAGTAGAATGATTAAGGCATATTAATCTTACAAAGGCTTACATGTGTAGCTGCATAAAGTTGTGTTTGAATGGACATTTACTCTTAACTCACGATCATGAGTGACCCAAGATTTATAGGAGTGATGTTTACATCTTTTTGCTGTTGCTGAGATCGAGAGAAAACGGTGTTCTGTCAGAATTATAACCTGAACATGTCTGCTCTTGTTGTATTATGTGTCCAAATTCTATTCAAGATACATCTCATAACGGCTGGCATATTTACAAATTTCAATCGAGTGTTGGATAACCACTATATAATCCTGGTATAAACTGGAATGAAATGGGACTAACAGGTTACTAATCGAATGCTTCTAGAACTCTCCTGACATTCGAGAGGTCAGAAAACATTTCCAAGGACTCCCGCCCAAAGTTACAAAACAGAAACTCCGAAAACAACATATAAACTCCCCCAGACCAACTAAACAGTGTTCAATTACAAACATGACCTTATTATATATTCTACCCCTTTTATTCTACTCCGTAAATACCCGTATTGCTTACCCCTCCTAGCATAAGTAAACTGAATTGGAGGTTTACCAACTCCATACCAAAATATCTCAAATCTGAACAAAATAAATTCTAATTTAGTTCCAAAATACCAACCATGTAATAGTCTAACCAAGTGCCCAATAATTATGTTGCAATTTACATGGAAATAATGGAGCTTGTCCTCCTAGATTTGGAAATTCGAACCATGCCGCAGTAATGGCCTATGTGGCTGTATAGGCTCTCAATACACCTCCTGTTATGTTTGCGTTAATAAGGTTATACATATGTTCTCTGATCCTTTTTTTTTTCGAAGTGACAAGATATTCTAGGAGGGTTATAGTGCAGGTTTTCACATGGGGAACCTGCAAATCCTGCTCATTTCAAACTTCAGTCTAACTTTTAGTACCAAATATTTCTCGCGGAAATATGTTTTAATTTTTTTTTCAAGCTAGGGTCTTAGCGGAAACAGTCTGTAGGGGTAGAGGTAAAATCTGCGTACATTTTACCCTCCCAAGACCCCTACTCGTGGGACTGGGTTTGCTTTGGTTTTAAAATTAGCACATCTATTGAGATCATTGTTCTCTAGTTTTTTATCATTGTTCTCTAGTTTTTTATCATCATAATTCTTCATACAAACTCGATGCTAATGTTGTTAACTTTTATAGAAAGTTCAGCAAACCGCGATCCAGATTTAGAAGAGGAAAATGGCGCTACTGTGCAATCAATGGAACCTACTGGACATGAATCTGATTTAGGATTTGAGGAAACATGTGTTTTAGTGGAAGGAAATGATTATCGTCCTGTCAACCACAAAGAAGAAATAAGACGGTCGTACAAGGTATTTCATACCTCCCTCTTTGCTGTGCATGTATTGAAGCTTACATTTTAAACAAACGAGGAAACATAAAGCAGTAAAACAAGCGGTTTTTTCTTGACTAAATACTTGTGTTGCAGAAAAAGATTCAGAGCACTTTTTCTTTGAAAAAGAAGTCATCGGCAAGGAAGCAGGAATACAAGCAACTTGCTGCACAATATGGCATCATGAATGCAGAACCGAACATACAAGGTGAGGAAGCTATCGCACTTGCACCCACTGTTTCGAAACACACAAAAGCTAAAACGGCAGCAACTCATGACTCATTAGAGTTGGAGTGGGAGCTTCTCTAGATGCTGTTATTGATCCCTCTGTAAATAAATTCCTATTTATGTCTGCTGTCGGCCCCTTCTCCTGCACAATCTAAGTTGATACCAAAACGATATGGGCGTTTTCTGTTAAAATGAAAGTTCGATGATCACCTGATTTGGGACAAGGGAGCTGTTAATAGTGTTGATTGTGGAGAGTTTAATTCTGCTTTTGAGCTGATTTAAGCTCTTATATGATGCCATAATGATAATATTGTTTACAAAATTGTTAGTTCTTGATATTTCTCATCTTGGAATGCAAGGGAACTTGAGTTATTTCCAGTTCTTTGAAGTTTAATAATTTGAACATGGCTTTTATAGATTTTAGTACCAAAGTTGTAAGATCTTTTTAGCTTCTGATCGTATATTACCACTGATGGCTGATGCCGTTAGTACACGCATGTCTGTAACATCGACTCAAGTGTCCAAGTACTCTCTTTTGTTATGATATGTGGGAACCTTTCGAATTCTCTCTATAAAAAGCCCTTGTAGAGATGAGAGGTTTTGACATATATACAAGTGGGCTCCAACACGATGCCTCAAACGGAGGCTCGACAGTGCCCCTTGAAAGGTGTGTTAGTGCTGAGTCACGACTCTGATATCATGTTAGAATATGTTCCTACATATACATAGGTTTGATAGTCTGTGTTTTAGACTTCTAAACCACTTTGCTTCATAGATGTCGCCATGGTTTTGTTCGGATTTGGTTTTGTTTGTGATATTGGTTGTGGGAGTTTTGTTGGTTTTTAGCTATGTGAGGTTTTGGTATTTTTATATCGTCTTAGGGGCGTTTACCAACACAAACTGGGTAGACGTTTATCGGGTAAGAGTTACAACAAATGTTTACCATATCAGGTAAGATTCTTGTAACGCCCCAAAACTTAAATCGGGTGTAACTTAGCTTATAATTACATCAAAGTTCAAATACTAGAGGAAACGTAACTTAATAGTCTATTATACAACATCTATTGATTAGAACCGTACTACTTCATGTAAATCCTCTTTACTCCTTTCTTGAGATATATAAGTTAAAACCTTAGTGAGTAGTTATAGTTTCATAAATAAACAGTTTTAATGATATTTATCTTTTGTCATGCATAAATGTTTTTTTGAGATATTACATGTAAATATGTTATACTTGTTTTGGGGTTTGCTAACCTTCAGTTCATCAAAGGCTGGCCTATAAGGTTCATTTGCAAGACGTCATTTCTTGTAATTTCTCGTACGTTGGATATTTATGATCATACATAACATGTAAAAACTTTCATATCTTGTATATAAAACACATACTTATATTATAACATGTAAAAACTTTCATACCTTGTGTATAAAAACATACTTATATCATAACATGTGAACACTTTAATGCCTTTGTGTGTAAAACGCTTATGTCATAACTTGTCATCATACATATCTTGAATATATAAATGTATCAACATTTTCATATAAAATAGCATCCCAAAGTATCTTATAATGCAAACATACTTTTTATATAGCATGTATATATCTCATAAATCTGATAAGGTACTCACCTTGATTATTCTTTAACTTTTTCCTTTATTCTTTACTTCAATCTTGATTATGTATATAAGGAGAGATTTCTTATTTTTGGTATGGAACTAATAGTCACACATCAACCCTTATTTATAGGTAAATTCATTACATCAACTACTTGTTCTTCTTACTATCGAAATCATACTCTTATGAGAGTTTAACATCTCATTTTTGAGGATAAGAGAATCTTGACACATCATCTTAATACTTCCTTGTCATGTTACTTAGACTTGCCTTGTAATCAAATAGTCTTACCAACTCATATTTTTAGCCCTTACAACTTATCTCTAGCTTGCTTAGTCATATTTACTAGACTTGCTTACTCATGTTTACTAGACTTGCTTAGTCATCGAATAGCTTGCCAACACACTTCTAGCCTTTACAACAACTTACCACCTTATGTTTGATTTCTCATGTTTTGCCTTGTAAGCTACTTGCCTTTTAAATATAATAGTTAAATAAATATTACAGCTGTTGGACTCTTTTTAGAATACTTAAATTACTTACAAAATTTTGTATTTAAGGCTTAAACATTGAGATTTAACAAATAAGAAACTAAGGTGTTACAATTCTCGGTCATCATAATAGCATAGTGTAAATGTCTTTTACCCAATAAGCGTTAACCGAATAAGAGTTACTACCCTCATTTACGTGTCATCAAAATAGCAATGATGTAAATGAGGGTGTGTTGTATTTTCTGAGACGAGAGACCTATAACTTGAAATTTAATTAACATCCGATTATGCGAAATAAAACAACCCAATTTAAGTCCTTTTATGATCACAATAGGGTTTGTCATAGGATATTAGGATTTGTCCGTATACGAATAATTTGGTCCAAACCTCACGGTTACGAAAAAAATAGCGTTTTAGTTATAAGTCGTAACGAATTTCTCTGGAGAAAAGTTTGTAACTGGTTTCGTAATCGTTCTCTAAGGCCTGATCTTTTTAACAAGATTTTAATTTGTTTTTATTCTTATAGTTTTTTTTAATATTCTAAATGAAATTAAGATTATAAATTTTTTATTTATTTAAAAATATTAAAATTTGTGTTTCAAATAAATTTAGATTTAAATATTTTATGTAACATATCTAAAAACTACCTCTATTATCATGGATACTCACGATTGAAACACGAGATATTGGGTTTCAAAAATTCGAATGGTGGCTTGATTAGTGTTTTGGTTTGTGTATATAAACCACTCAACTAAAATGGGGAAATTAACAGAAATGGTCATTTTTTACGGTTACATTTATCTCTTAGTTATTTCTCTTGTGTAGTTATTAAAAAATCATTATCTTCACAAGTAAGACTTCTTCAACTTGTGAAGGTGCGGAAAAGGGAAAAAAAGTCTGATAACCCTCCGCAAGTAACACCTTCGTGACTTGCGGAGGTGCCACTCCTCAAGTCTCCACTTTCATAGAACTTGTGGATGGTTTTGGTTGGCAATATAAAGTAGACCCCATGAATACTACTATTTGTGAAGGTTAGGGGTGTATAAAAAACCGTCAATCTGCGATATCAGTCCAACCCTACCCACTAACAACCTAGTTAAGTTCAACCCGCACAAACCGTCAAACTGTCAGCATGCCAAACTGTCAACCAGCTAATTGAGAGGGTTGCAATTGACCCAACCCGCCAACCCATTGTTTAATATTTTTTTTTTAAAATTTTATTTGTATATATATGTTTATTATATTTATTAATAATGTGTAAAATTTTATATAGTTTTTATTGAGATTATGTTTGCATTTCATTTAGTTAAATGTATGGGTTTCCAAAAGAGATTCACGTTCAAAAAATGATGACAAATAATCTAATTAATAAAAGAAAATTATTAGAACAGTTTTTGCAGCAACAACAAATTGATATGCCGAAGAATATAAATGATATTTATAGATATTTGATTGACGAATCTATCAATCCAAAGACTCCGTCATTGGATTTTGTATTTTAGTGGAAAGAAAGTGTTTAGTTATAACATTTCATTACAACAACATTAGGTTTTATAGGATGCCTAAAATGTATAAACGCTATAATATGATACTTTAGGATGAAACAAAAAAATATCTTGTCTAAGAGTTACAATATGTTTATAGGATGATTTTGGCGTCTTAACAAATGTTTATAACGTTTTTAAAATAAAGTATCGTATTAGTTATTATATACGACATTACTTGAAAAAATGTCATATGAACACAAGTGTTTAATAAATAGATGAGTTTATTGGACATTTATTAAAATGTTTATATAAATAACTAATTGGACATTTTATTTAAAAATCATTCTAAACAAGTTGCAAAAAACACCCAAAAACGTTCTATAGACCTATTGTAACCTTTTTAGATAGGACGCTCTATTGTCTGGTACTATAAACTTAAGTTTTATGAAGTATTTCATTAATCAAATTTATGTGACTACTAACCCGTCAACCCAACCCGCCTCAACCCGCAAGTGTTGAGTTGGTTTGGGTTGTATACTTTTGAATGTGTTGGGTTGAGTTGAAATTTTTTCAAACCGCCATAATTGAATTAGGTTTTAAAAATGTCGTAAACCGTCCAACATAACCCACGTACACCCCCTAGTGGAGGTGACACGTTACATTGGGAGTATGAAAAACTTCATTCATCTTTCTAAAACACCCCTCTGAAAGTTGCAGATAAGGCATTTGCGAAGGTATTGAGTTTTTGGTAAGTGTGGGAGGCTAATGACTAAGAGATTAATTTGGTCAATTTTCCACTAAAATATTTATTACTATTCAAATGAAAAGACAAAAATGCTCTAAGAAACCACAAAGAAATGCTTATATAACCGTTTGGTGAATATGACAAAATGGTAAATTGTTCGTTACATCTGGCCAGATAACCGCTTTTTTAACAGGTTTAACTTCAAAAAATCATAACTACTGATAAAAAGTCAAACATTTTGTAACTGGTCCCAAGTTTCAAGCTCAAGTACCCATCTCTTCTTAACGGTCCTTGACTCAAGTTGGGGACGATAGAGACACCGACTGTCTTCTTCTTTCTCTTTTGTTCCTCCTATCGTAACTTAGAAGTTACGAAACAAATATCATAAATCTTGCAAGTGATTATTAAAGTCGAGAATGCCATTTGAAATGTGTACCACAAAAATAAAAGAGTTTTATCTGTAATGACACCACAAACCCGAAGGTATTAAAAAATCTATATATTGAAATTGTAAATACTGGTTATTTATCGAGTGTTTTATACCGAGTTACCTAGACACAATAAAACCAACAGACATCTTCGATTGCGCACTGAAATGTCTTTTTTTTTTATTCTAGAAACTATGGTTGTTCGGTCATTTGACGATACTACATTTCTGAAACCATAAAAACCTCAATTGACCGAGGGAAGCTCGTCCTCTTATTGTTTGTGTCAATACTCAACTTTGTCAGTCTGGTTGAAAAACGTGGATCAGTTATTTGGGAAAAGTTTCTAACTTTCATCTATCAGCCTTCTAACAATTTGATATATGGTTTTCGATACATCCGAACTAATTCTCGACATTTTGAAAAAAATGCACCATAAATCGTAATAATAAACACGTTGCGAAACCCATAAACAATATCCTTGCATTTACATTGAGTTTAGTAGAGCAAAAATAAATGAAATAGTGGTTTTTGACGCTTGACCTACCAGATTAAAAAAAGACCTTTAGACTATTTTTTTGTTTTTAAATTTGAATTTAATATATAT